TGCAAAACCTTGATCAAACTGTAGAACACTTTCAAAATAGGACTGTAGACCAAGTATACATTAGGATAATCGATAGGAGTTCTTGTATGGATGCAGCTTTCAAAAGGGTACAACCATTTAAATGAAATCATCCACGTCGATTCTTTGTCTCCATCTGTTGCACATCTCCAACATCTTCTACACAACCTCCTTGTACTACTGGATAGTATCAAATTCTTGGAAACTCTTTGCCCTCCCTCCTTTGCAGTCCTTACTGACCCTCGTTGACCGCCACTCGGAAGGAGTCGTTCAGAATCCAAATTCAGCTTCCGCCACCTCCTGACTTGTTACAACACACGCCTCACAGTTATTTAACTATCACTGCGAATAATTACCGAACCTAATCCTAAAGAACTACTCACGCTCGCTACGCAAGAACCATTCTTTACAGTGCCCTGATATTCTACTATAATAACGCTACGAAACGACATGTTCCGAATAGAAAGTAACGATTTCATAACGACTGTGACCAGGAAGAAGCGGAACGCCTTCGTGCTTGTTCTTGCATTGCTGAGCGTCCCTTGCCCAGTCGCCGCCTTCCCTGTACACAGACACCATGCAGCACGACGATTATTCGACCTAGGTGATTTATTCCGGCACGGTCCCCGTCCTTTTACCGTGGCTTCTTCTGGACCCATTCTTCTTGCGGCTGAAAATGCCACTGCTTCCGCGACCAGCAGCACGCCAGGCGCAGCAGGGGTCACCGTTACCCAGACAATCACCGAGACGGGATACCTGTTCGCCGCACCAAGCATTCCAGGGTTCGCAGAAGAAGGCGGCTCGGATGGCCCTTACCTAGGCCAAACGGGTCGTCAACAGGCGATCGGTCCAGCCACTCCCACAATGGAAGTTTATCCACCCGTGCTTTTAGACTTTTCCAATTCGGTTAGTGTGCCGGATGTGCCGGCTGTAGCGTCATCGTTTCTGTCGACCGATTCCGTCGTGCCAGACCCGAGCCTGGACAATGCGCTTGCCGATCCGACTACAGGTGCTGCAACCAGCACGTCCGAAGCCTTGGCAGCAGGTTCCTCGCAAGAAACACCTGGAGCCACGCTTTCCAGTATCCCTGAAAGCGAAGCTGTCATCGCAGCTTATTATGCGGATTGGGCGGTTAAGCAACTAGCTCCGGAGGATGTCGACTTTACACGTTTGAACTGGATTGACTTTGGTGAGTAGTCTAAAAAAAATTCTTGCGTGATGGGGGATATTGCCTGGCAATATTGCTCAAAGGAAGACCATGTGCTGACGAAGGACTTGTGCTAATATTATCAAACTGCGAGAATAGCCTTTGCGATTCCTAACGAGAATTTCGAGCTCATATTTACCCAAGATGATTCAGAGGATCTGTTGCACCGACTTGTGGTTACCGCCCATTCAAAGGGACGAAAGGCAAAATTGAGTATTGGAGGATGGACGGGCAGCGCGCATTTTTCGCGCGCAGTCCGTACGTCGGAGGGACGAATGACGCTATGTGGGTCCATCGAACGAGTGTATGACCAATTCGGCCTGGACGGAATCGACATTGATTGGGAGTACCCCAATGGGGCGGGGGCAGGAAATGAGTATTCGCCCGATGATGCGGAGAACCTGTTGACGTTCCTAGAGTTGCTTAGAGAGACGTTGCCACCTTCTGCAAAGATTACTGCAGCAACCGCCTTGTGGCCGTTTGCGGGGAAGGATGGTCAACCTCTTCGCGACGTGTCGCGGTTCGCGCGTGTTTTGGACTGGATTATGCTGATGAATTATGATGTCTGGGGCTGTACGTTTCCACCCCTATCCCTTTGGCGTTTAATAACGCAAGGTTTGAAGAGACTTGAGGCTAATCTTTTTTTGTGTTGCTATAGCCTCGCCTGAGCCAGGACCGAATGCGCCTCTCTCCGATGAATGCGGGACGTCAACCCAGCCTTTGGCAAATGCAAAAGCAGCCATCCAGAGCTGGACCGAGGCTGGATTCCCACCAGCGCAGATTGTGCTAGGCATACCGGCATACGGGATCCTGTCCCGGTCGAGCGCAGACAAGCTGAGGACTCGGGACGAGGCCGGTGACAGCAGGATCAATGATAGTCCCTCGACCGATCACGCGAGAACCCTGGAATCGAGTACGGGAGAACTGGAGATGCATAATGACGAGGGAGGCAGCGACGGCCAGATACAGTTTGGTGAGCTGGTGCGGCAAGGGGCGCTTGTCCGAAACAACGGCGGAGATTATGAGGCGGCGGGAGGCTTTGAAAGAAGATGGGATCACTGCTCAAGTACGGTTAGTCACTTGATTTGTCTGATTTTCACAATTCCATTTCCATTTTCGTTATTGCTCTCTTTTCTGCTGGTCACTAACAACAAGCGCGCATATTCTTTTTTTGGGCTGGGTATTAACATACGCGGATATATTGGACGTTTGCACTGGATTCGGGGATATTGGGACCTGGGCGGGGGAAACACGAATCTAGCCCTGGCTTCGAAGTGAGGCTCGAGGACAAGTGATCGCGTATGACGACCCAGAGTCGGTACGGCTCAAGGCCGACCTGGGACGACGGTCAGGGCTCTTGGGCGTCAGCTTGTTCGCGGCTCATGGCGACGATGGGTGGGCGCTGGTCGATGGAGCAAGGCAAGGCTTGGGTATCACGAGCCCACTGGCCAAGAGGAGTATACGTTATCGCTGAGCCCAGTAATGCGTTCTTACTACATGTCTAATTGTCACTACCTGATATAGGCAATGCGATTGCTTGTTTAGGATATATCATTGACCACTATCCATCTGTCAGGAGAGATTGCATAGTTTTTCCTCTATCAAACTCTGCTTCAATCGTTGTTCCTCTACACAAAACCGGGTGGTCGAAAGAGGCATTTCCGGTTCGCATGGACACGCGGAAGACAGGAAGGCTTCGACAGCTGTCCAACGTTTCCAGCCTCACGTTTTGACAACGTAACCAGTCGACTGAATTGGATAAAATATTATTTATTTATTATTATTTAATCTGGTTTATATATATAATAACGCTGGCCAATTCCAGCGCCCTTTGTTCGTCCACATCATCCTATCTCCTCCCCTCTCTCCCGTTTCGTGTTTGTTGTACCCGTAGCTTTCGACTACTACTCCTCCATACTTGTTTACAATCTGGTCGTTTGCTGCTAACAACTTGAACATGTCGTTCTCGTACGCCTCGATCCCCCCACCAGACTCTCCACCGCTCAGAGCGACGCCTCTGTCACCCGCCCCCGTACGCTCGGACAAGAGAGCGAAGCGTCATACAGCTGCACTCTCGCCCTCGACATTTGCCGCAGATGATCTACATGTTGCCGGTCTGAATCTCAACGATGACCCACTCGACCTCGATGGTGGCCGACGCAGCGACAGCTACCTCAAGCAAGGGGGCTTGTACGCCTCCAACGCTATTCCACGAGGAGGAGAGACGTTGAAGCGCGCGTCTTCAACGATCATTCCCGTCCCGCAGCTAATCAACAGTTTACCCCCGCATTACCGCCACCCCAGCCCAGCCCCCTCGAGCGAGAGCGCGACCCCGAGCTTGATGAGCAGCAGTATCTCGACACACGAGTCGCTCTCGTCTGCTTCGTCTTCGGGCTCGATGAGCTGTGCGAGCAGCACGAGCAGCCACGGCGCGAGCTCCATTGCTCCATCCGTTGCACCACCCACCAAGGGCCAGCAGCAATCCTCGAATTCGTGCAGAAAGTCGATCGTGCCCAAGCTTTCTTTGGCTAGTTTGAATAATCACAACAAGAGCGCTGGACACGGTTCCAGCTCGAATGATAGCCTCTCGTCGGGCTCGGAGCCCCTGACTCCCACTGGTCCCACCTTTTCTCGTTCAAGGTTAGCACCGTTTTCATTTCTCCTTGCATTCCATCCTCCAGAGCGGTCTTGCCACCAACCCCACACTGCTCGCTTAGGTCGTGTCCCCCAACGGCACCTCTTAGCGAGATCACACCACACGATCACACACACACACACATAAACGCCCAAAATTTCCATTTTTCGTTAGCTACTCGGCTTACTAAAAAAAGACTATCCGGTCTTTTTGCATTTCCGACGCTTACCACTCGCGCTTTCCTTTCATGTGCTGACGGACTTGTAAAAATTTTTCAGAGGAAAGAGCATTTCACGAGCAGTCGGTAAACTCGCCTCCGACTTCCTATCTCTCAAGAAGAAGGATCGGTCCGACGCCGATGCCTCGCAGACTTCGACGGTGGTGCCTCCAGTCCCGTCGCTGTCAGGAATCTCCCGAAAATAAGCCTCTCCCCGTCTCCTGTGCCAAAGACGTCAAATTATAAGTTTTTTTGGCACCCCTGTGTGTTTCTTGGATTCTATCGTTTTGCCGTGCGCGCCAAAAACTCGCCCATTCTTCCCATCAACAACTCTCACACTTTTGCTCCTTTTCTAAATTCCATCAACCCTGCAAGTCTTGTCGAGTTTTTGCCTTCAATTAACAAGGGACCGGTACTCGTCCCGAATGACGACGACGACGACGACGAGCACGCATGATGTTTATTGCGACGGGTCTAATTTGGAGCTGTCGCGCCTTTTCTGCCACCCCTGAATGTGGTCTGCTGATCACAAGAGTGGAGCGTTATCTCCCTTCGCAATAATATTACAGCGCGCAGCAATAATCACTTGGCCACTCTTCCGGGTGCTATCCTTTCCGTCCCGACGCCTCCATTTTCTCCTTCGCTCTCGACGCCTCGTCCTTGGCCGCCTTCTTCTTGCAAACGTGGTCGTTTATCCCTGCTCCCAAGGCTAAAACTCGTATCATTTCGCGCAATCCTTCGAGAGGACGGAGACGGGAGTGTAGGCGATGGTCGCCACTCGCGTTCGACTGCGTATCGGACGATGACGCATATGATTCGATCACCAGACGCAATTTTCACGTCTCTTTTTTTTTTTTTGGCCCTGCCTCGCACAGTCGCAAGCACACGCAACACCGACCCGACACGTCCAGTTTTCGGAATTTGTTTGCGAGCGCTAAACCAGACACGCTGCATAGTACAAACGGAGAGACTGAAAGAGTTGTTGAAATGTCGAGCTTTTGCTGGGTGTGGAGCCAAAAATAAAAAAAGATTAAAGTGCGGAGCTAGGAGAGTGCCGCTGACAACAACGACGACGAATAAAGTGCGGAGAGACGCGCATACGATCAACGAGCGCTTTGCCAGCCTCATCAGCAATTTACCATCCATATTTCCCCTTGTTTTGATGGAGGATGGGCCAATAGACTATGATCCATCGGCGGCGGAGGCGAAGCCCACCCACAACCAGAAGACGGAGGGGGCGGCCGGAGACTGCCGAGATTACCATGCCATCGTCCCAGGACCAAAAGAAAAAAAGGGGCAAATCGAAAAAGATAATAAGTGGTGTTATTCTTGCGCATCGCTCCCGCAA